TAATTTTTATACTGCACGTTAAGGTGTTTATCCTGTGGTAATCAAGACTTTGGCTGGTAATGCAGTTACCCTAATGATTCCCAATGTCTTTTTTTTTAAGACTACACCTGAAATTCACTAAAAGCTATCATATAGATATAAAATCTAAAAACTTCTTCTTTGTAACATATATCCAGTTTTGTCGTGAAACACTAGATGGCAAAGGCTGATAGGTCCTTAATGCAATTTGCTAGCTATCACATTATCACTACATGGCACAAGCTGATTGGTCTCTGTTGCATCTGTAGCCTACTAATGAACATTTAAATTGTTCAGTTCAGTGTTTGCTGTAAGCCGGGGGTGCCAAAACTCGATCCTGGAGGGCCGGTGTCCTGCAGAGTTTAGCTCCAACTTGCCTCAACACACCTGCCTTCAAGTTTCTAGCATGCCTAGTAAGAGCTTGATTAGCTGGTTCAGGTGTGTTTAATTGGGGTTGGAGCTAAACTCTTCAGGACACCGGCCCTCCAGGACCGAGATTGGGCACCCCTGCTGTAAGCAATTCTTGAAACCCTCTCAAAAACCATCCACCTCCTCCAGCTCCACATGTATAGGGGTATCTGCTAGGGGTAATTTCATTTATGTTATTTGTGCAGAAGCAGTATGTCTTACATGCCCACAGCAGTGTCTCTGTGTGATTTGGCAATAGCAAGTCTTTGTACTTGCTTTGCAGCAGCAGCAATAATCAACAGAAGCAGTAGCAGCCTTGCAGATCTGTTTCTTTAAGACCAAATACATTGTCATATCCATTACCATGCTAAAGTTTTCATGACAGAAATAAAGGTTTCATGAAAATTAACTGCATGATAGGAATGATGTAACTGCAGAGTTTAAGAAACTTCTTTCACATAATCATCATCCTTTCCAGAACAACTAATGCCACAGCAAATAATAATGATGATAATAATAATAATAACTTCCAATAGTCAAGGGCATTATACAATCAAGAATTAGAAGATAGTAAGTTTAGCAGAACTGTAAATCCCTTAGAGTGAGAAAATGTGTGGTAAAACACATGTAACATACACATTATGTTGTTTTATTTATACATGATTGGATTATTTTCAAAGTACACTGATTTGGACTGATTGTCATTTGTTTCAGGCAAACCAGTCAGAAACAGAGATTCCCTGCATGGATCATAAGGAGATTTCGCCACCTGCTGCTGATGGACAGATAGTGGTACATTCAGATTTCCTTCTAAATCTAGTCTAAATAAACTAAATACACAAACATCTCTCATGGATGTACTAAGACTGAATTTAATGTTATTTAGACTTGTCAAAGTGAATGTTTCATGGTGTTATGTGTAATATATAGTGGGTACGGAAAGTATTCAGACCCCCTTAAATTTTTCTCTCTTTGTTATATTGCAGCCATTTGCTAAAATAATTTAAGTTAATTTTTTTCCCTCATTAATGTACACACAGCACCCCATATTGACAGAAAAACACAGAATTGTTGACATTTTTGCAGATTTATTAAAAAAGAAAAACTGAAATATCACATGGTCCTAAGTATTCAGACCCTTTGCTGTGACACTCATATATTTAACTCAGGTGCTGTCCATTTCTTCTGATCATCCTTGAGATGGTTCTACACCTTCATTTGAGTCCAGCTGTGTTTGATTATACTGATTGGACTTGATTAGGAAAGCCACACACCTGTCTATATAAGACCTTACAGCTCACAGTGCATGTCAGAGCAAATGAGAATCATGAGGTCAAAGGAACTGCCTGAAGAGCTCAGAGACAGAATTGTGGCAAGGCACAGATCTGGCCAAGGTTACAAAAAAAATTCTGCTGCACTTAAGGTTTCTAAGAGCACAGTGGCCTCCATAATCCTTAAATGGAAGACGAGAGCTGGCCTAGAGCTGGCCTAGAGCTGGCCGTCCGGCCAAACTGAACGATCGGGGGAGAAGTGCCTTGGTGAGAGAGGTAAAGAAGAACCCAAAGATCACTGTGGCTGAGCTCCAGAGATGCAGTCGGGAGATGGGAGAAAGTTGATATTTCAGTTTTTCTTTTTTAATAAATCTGCAAAAATGTCAACAATTCTGTGTTTTTCTGTCAATATGGGGTGCTGTGTGTACATTAATGAGGAAAAAAAAATTAACTTAAATGATTTTAGCAAATGGCTGCAATATAACAAAGAGTGAAAAATTTAAGGGGGTCTGAATACTTTCCGTACCCACTGTATGTTTGTCAAAATATTAAATTGTTTACCTTGCTTATGATTGAACAAAACTCCTATTTGCTTTATTGTATGTTCCTTCTTTCTCTCTGATCTGATATAGAGCACACTCCCTGAGTCAATTTGCACAAAGATAAATGGTGAGTCCATTGTTTTAATATTACAATTCTATACTGAAACTATGAGCTGATTTTATAAATAGTGAGTTATGGTTATATGCAAACATGCCTTTAGCCTTAAAAACTGTGCAAGCTAAAAATATAATTGTCTCATGATATTGCTCTCATGACATGTCAGCCCTCCCTCTAGAATCGTCATTGTCTTGCAGTATATGAAGCTTACTTTATTGTAAATTTGTGAATTGAGGGGTTTTATGATTGATTGATTGATTGTCATGGATGGAAATTACCAGGGAAAAAAAATTATGAAGAAAATGGTAGGCCAAAGATAGGTACAGTATATAGTGTACAGTATGTAGTGATCTGTCATTTATTTGTGTTTCCTTTAGGAGAGCATGTACACACAACAAGTCCCAGTGCAGCAACTGCTGTATCAGAGAACAAGGACCCTCCTAAATTGGCCAGGGTCTGTGGCCTACAAAATAATATCTGTTTATCTAAAACAAAAGCTTACAGATTTTATGTTCATACAAAGATGCAATTCTACCTGGAGAAAACACTTTTATATTTAGCTAATAATAGCTAATAGTCAAATACAAAGTTAAAAATAATGCAGTTTGTCTGTGGTAGAGTACAGAATGTGAACATTAAATTCCTTTAAAGATTTTGTGACAGTCTGCTAACTGGTAGTATGGAATATGAGATTTTATACCATAGACGTCTGATATGTATACTAAATACTGAATTTCATTGCTGATGAGATGGTTATTATACTTTTTTTCCCCTCCTGGACAGAAATTTCACCTGCTTGTCCAGGAAAGATGTGTATCCTGCCTGAAGACTGTTTACCCATTGGAGAAATATGTTGCCAATCAGCAGATTTACCACAAGACTTGCTTCCGCTGTGCCTTTTGTAGTACAAAACTCAGGTCAGTTTTTGTTTTAAATTTCTATGATCTCTTAAAGAATATTCTGGGGTTTCAAGACAACTTAAGGGATAGTTCATCCAAAAATGAAAATTCTGTCATTTACTCACCCTCGTGTCGTTCTAACCCTGTAAGAGTTTTGTTCATCTTCTGAACACAAAGGAAGACATTTTTAATGAAATCTGAGAGATTTATGTCCCTCTATTGTCAGTCTACGCAACTACTACTTAAATATTTTATTCACATATTTACATTAATCATTTTTTCCGTTTTCAGTTTCACTTTTAGCAGTGAATGTAAACAAAAGACATAAGTTTCAAAGACATTTGACAAACAAATGCACCAGATTTGCCTGTTCTTGCAATGGTGTGACTCCACTCTTCTACCAAGGCACTTGCAAGCTCCCAGACATTTCTGGGAGGTCACATGGTTACACATGGTTTGCCACTTCAAGTACAGTCAGCTGTCCTTCAGTCTCCCTGTAGCAGGACTCACCTGTTCACGGAGGTGAACAAAAAGTTTATTTGGATTTTACAAAGTTATCTTTAAAATACAGCATCCAGAAAAAAAAAAATAATAAAGTTTACCACAAGCAATAATTTTGTCTCTGTATATAAAAAGTTATTGGGGTCTATGGGAGGTACAAAGGTTTGTACAAAGGTGTTTAAAAGCTGAAAAGTGAAGCCAACATTGTTGTTGTAAATTAATTAACTACTGTTATGTTTATGTTCTGTTAGGTTGGATTTACCATGAAACATTATAATGTTAAATAATACAAACAAATGCAAGCTGAATACATTTGTAAACAAAGCAAATAAAGTAGTTTTAATCATATTAATCCCATACATTAACACATTTTTTTGACAGCCTCAGTCTATGTATTAAAATAATTAGTCAATATTAGTAAATTGTAACAACCTACTGAGGTCAGTTTGTAGATATCCTTCACATGGCAATTATATGTCTTCTTTTGCGTCCCGTTTATTTCAGTTTGGGGACTTATGCTTCCCTACATGGCAACATCTACTGTAAACCTCACTTCAGCCAGCTATTCAAGTCTAAGGGCAACTATGATGAGGGCTTTGGCCATCGACCACACAAGGAAATTTGGACACCACGAACAAACGAGGAGGAACCTGAGGAAGGTGAAAACTCAAAGCCCTCTGTGTTAGTGAAGCCTGCAGAACAACTGAGCCCTAAAGTGGAGGAGTCAGGACTGGCCAAATTCACTGACCTGGCTGCAGCTCAAGAGACAAGAAGTCAAATGACCAGTTCCACAGAAAAACCACAAACCACTTCTGTAGAAACAAGTAAACTGAGAGTCGCGTGGCCACCTCCTGCAGACAGTGATGGAAGCTCCAAAGTCTCCAGTCCAGCCACTGAAGTTGGAAAGGGTTCATCCAAGCTTTTCAGAGCAAAGTGGCCTCCAGAGGAGGAAGCTCCACCTGCTCAGCAGAGCCATGAACGAGCAGAACTGAAAAGTCTGCGACGTAGTTCCTCACTCAAAGAGCGGAGCCGTCCCTTTTCTGTGGCACCAAGCTTGGCATTATCCAATGCTTCAAAACAAGAGTCACAATTATCTCACAAGGTTGCTTTGGTCAGACGAGGCTCGGTGGAGGATCTTCGTTCACGGTCAAAAGTGAAAACAGACCAAACTGAAGTGCAAAAAGAGGCAAAAACCCCAGATGAAAACACAAAGGACAGCGACAACCAATCCAAGGAGAATGTTGAGAGTCCAGCCATAATTGATAGGAAAGAAAAGATGTCCCCTTCTATTCTCAAACAGACACAACAAACAAAAAAGGAAGTTGAGCCACAACAAACAAAAAATGAAGCTGATCTACAACAAACAAATAAAGAGTCTCGGACTCAACAAACAAAAAGGGAGCTTGACCTACAAAAACAGGAGGTTCAGAAAGGTCATGTGGAAGATGAGGAAAAAACGGTGAATTGCTTAAGCACTTCTCCTGAGCTCCAGACTTCCCGAGACACATCCTCTCCAACTGTGGAAGAAAAAGCCCATAGGACATCTCAGGATGTGGGCTTCTGGGATGGCAAGGAGGCTGAGGAGTCCCTGACTGTAGAGGAGATGATCAAGAGGAATCGCTACTATGAAGATGAAGATGACGAGGAGGAAGAAGTGGCAATAGTTTGACAATTTATGTCTTCAATCCCTTCCATTTATTATTTACTCTGAAAATATAACTGGTATAAATTCAACATAATAAAAAAAAATACAAGTATTTTATTATATTTTATCCAAGCACTGTGGTACTGTACATCTTTTCTTTAAACTTCTTTCTTGGAACTTGGAACTATCACTACTTTTTTGTATTTTATTCTTTGACAGCCATGTTTTCTTTTGGTTGCTGTAAAAAAATGACTTGTTTACAAAAAAAATGTTTAAAAAATCATTATAATTGTTTCTTAATCTAAAAATGTTATATATATGTTATATTAAAATACAGTTAATCAGTAAGGATAACAGCCAAACACATTTTTTTGGTTACTCTTCCATATTCTTCCATATTATAGTCCATATTTTAAAACATTTTCCATTGTTTTAATGATTATTGGAAGTACACAATAAACATTATTTCACTGAAATTGGGGATATAAAGTGCATAATTTCATTGAGTCATTGAGCGTTTTATGTGTAATTATAAATATTACATAAAAAGGGTGATATCTTTAGTTTTCAACACAGTTATATGAAGCTTGTAAATCCTCATATGCCCCTTTATAATATTGTCATCTAGTTCTGTGCTCGAGATCACCTTAATCAATTCAAAAGCAAGACCTGAAGTCTGAGTCAAGACTGTGACCAAACAAGGTGAATTGAACTCATAACTGAGACTATAACCTCTGCAAGGTTGGATTTTGACCATAAATATAAATTCAAATTGCTACTCAGCATAAACTACAAATGATTCAAAACCCAGCACGACTCGTCTACAATAAGCCCAAGAGAGCCCACATCACATATCAGTAGGCTTGTTCGAGATGCATCGGCGCTGTGCAGCCACAGAACGATCGCTGTATGACTTCAAAGTACCGCGAGAGTCATCGTCCTATTACGACTCTCACTGTACTTTTATGTCATACACCGATCGTTCTGCGCAGCGATGCATATCGAACAAGCCTACTCTCTGACTGGCTACCAGCACTATTACCAACAGGTCTTAAAAACGCCAAAGCGCAGTGCCCTTAATGCACACTAAATGCACACTATTTTGAATACCGCTCCGGAGCAGTTTTCGAGGCTTAGTGTATCCCATCATGCATCATGTTGTGGAAATAAATCGTGATACTTTTTGCCAAGATCTCGCGAGAGGTCACAGAAACCTTTCCGATGTATGTTAAATATTAATAATAGTTAGATATTACATATAATTTGGTAGTAAAACAAAGAGTTGCATGTTTTATTGGTGCAAATTAGTAGTGGTGATAATTATTTTGTACAACATTTGCAACTGCATTTTATTACTTAATTAGAAGCACCACAAAATTAAATTGTCTCATCTGTTATCGGGACTACTGAACAGAAATTTAGAAGTTGATTTTAAAATGCAAAGTATTAAAAATAAATATAATGCTCTGTAAACACTTGCATTTTTACAACACTATAGTGTGTCCCATCAGGTAATGAAAAGTTCTACACACACTTACGGGGTGCTTCTCAATATTTCTCCTTGTTTCCTTGCTCCTCCGTCCTCCATCCTATGACCTGGAAACGATTGAGCTCAGCCATCTTGAAGGACATCTCAATTCTCTGGGTGCTTCTCAATATCCCTCCTCGTATCCTCACTCCTCCATCATATGACCTGGAAACCGATCGAGCTCAGCCATCTTGAAGGACATCTCAATTCTCTAATTGCACCATGAGGAGGCGAGGAGTGAGGAGGGAGGAGGATTCCTCAGGAGCTATGAGCAAGGATACATAGGTGTATCCTTTGCGGAAGTGTTTTATCGACTAAACATGACGCACGTATCAGTTCTCCTCCCCCTTCACATCTGCACCAACCATGGCAGAAAATACAAACACATATAAGAAAATGAGTATTAAGCATGAAGTTATTGTAAATGTGGGTTATGTTTTGACAGTGCCTTCAATTTAAATGTATAATGTACTTTTCAGCACAGTTTTAATTACGTTTATTTACATCTCTTGATTTGAATAGCTTATTGCTTTTAATTTTTTTATTAAATTAATGCCTCTTATATTGGTTAATAGAGAATAGAGAATTACTTTAATGTAGGGCAGTTGCAGAATTATATCAAAGCACAAGAAAATTTAAGAAAATTAAACAAACTGTACTACTATACAACAAATAAAAAGCAGTTAATAACTGGGAATAATTTATTGTTAATAATAACTGGTAATATATAAAAATAAATATGGAAAAATGTGGTTGAAACTATTACAATACAAATAATTATCTCTAATGTTCAAGAATCCCGACGTGCAAGCTAAATCCAGTGGTGTAGAGTCATCATTAATTGATGACGCTTTGAAGTGACGCTAAAGGGAGTGAGGAAATATAATTTCATTTGATTCAACTCCTCCATCCTCGTGTCTTTTCCTTGCGTCCTTCCCTCGCAACCTGAAGGGGTGGAGCTAAGACATGAGGAAAGGACAACGAGGATGCACAAATAAGAATTGAGAAGCACCCTCTAATTGGACCTAGAGGAAGTGTTTTTCATCGAAAAACCTGACGCAAGTATAAATTCTTCTCCCCCTTCACATCTGTTGTAATAATTTTAATTTATATTTTACCTTTTCAGTTTAAATAAACCATACATGTCATATGTTTCAAACAGAGCATCTTGCTTTATTAATATTTATCATGAATGTCTTAAATAACAAACTTTAGCAACATAAGGGCAGATCCCTTTAGCCCAGCTGATGACGCTTTGAAGTGACGCCAAAGGGAGCAAGGATATATCATTTCACTTGATTCAACTCCTCTGTCCTCGCGTCTTTTCCTGAAGAGGTGGAGCTAAGACACAAGGAAAGGAAATGAGGATGCACAAATAAGAATTGAGAAGCACCCTTGGTCTTTGTTGCGGGCTGACAGAGACGAGAGACGTGTGGATCCATCTGCATGCTTTTATTACAAGACATGCCCATAACAGGCATGGGTCAAACAGTGGCAAAAAGGTAAATTTCAGGCAAGACAAAGAGTATTCCAGGGACAGACAAGGTCAACGATTGGTAAACATAATCCAGTGAGCAAGGCATGGGGGTATTCAAATAAACAAGCAATAGTTCAAACGAGGAGCAAACAGTATCTAAACAAGGGTGAGACGAGAAGGGTAATCCACGGCAGGCAATAGAATCCAGGGCAGGCAGAGATCAGATAAGACAAGGAAAACAGGCAATAATCAAGACACGGGTAATCCAGGCAAAGAACAAGAATAAAATATGAACTTGGGAAAACAAGGAATGGCTCCGTAATGTGCTATCGAATAACCAGCAAAAAATGCAAACAATACTCAGCGTTGAATGGTGGTTTGAGACTTGATTTATAGTGTGTATAATTGGCTGCAGGTGAAAACGTAATCAGTGAAATGGAACATGGGAAATGTAGTCCAGAGTGACATGTGACAGTCTGTGTAATGTGAGAGTCAATATAATGGGAAGGCGACCTCTGGTAGCAAGCGGACAGAAGGCTCCCCCCCCAAGGAGCCGCTTCCAGACGCTCCCAACATAGTACAATCCAGGAGGGCGGTGGAGCGGAGGCGGAACAGGGGAGGGATGGAGGGCCAGGTCCATGAGGAAGTGGAGGGACAGGGGACTGAGGCAGAGCAGGATGCCAAGGCAGAGCAGGAAGCCAAGGTGGAGCAGGAAACCAGGGCGGAGCTGGCAGAGCAGGGAGCCAGGGCGGAGCCGGCAGAGCAGGAAGCCAGGACGGATCAGGAACCCATAGCAGAGACTGGGACCTGGGAAAAACTGAGACACAAGAAACAGACAGCACATTCACGGTCTCAAGAACCAAGGCAGGGAACACAAGAAGTTCATCAATAGTCTCCCTGGTGACCACTGAACGGGCAGACAGTTCATAAACCTGCTCACTGACTGAAACTGGACAGGCAGACAGTTCCAAATCTGGCTTATTGACTGAAACTGAACAGGACGACAGTTCATAAACAGGCTTACAGACTAGGATTGGCAAGGCAGACAGTTCAGCAGACACATTTGGGGAAACAGAACAGGCAGACAGTTCATGAATGGTCTCTATGGCAGTGACAGGGTTAACGAGACAGACATGGAGTGCATTTATATTTTCTGGGCTCATAACTGGACTAATGGGGCAGATAACAGGTTCCTTGACCACCACTAATGTAAGTGAATGAAAGGCAATAATCAGCTATATGCATTCACACAAGTAACTTTTTACTTGAATGCTTCAATATGTGTTGACAGAAATTATTTTATTTGAATGTTTCATTGATACAACATGGCACTGAGTTGTTAGAAAAGAAATGCGTAGTGACATCATTGCTTGATGTCATAAGGAACCGATGAATCAGCTTTTTGAACCGGCTCAATGAGCCGAACTGTCTGAAAAGAACCGGTTCGCGGAAATGAATCAGACTTTGCATCACTAACAATCACTCCACAATTTGCACATAATAAAAAGAAGGGGGAAAAAACAACATTGAATAAGCACTTAGAGGTTTATAAAACAAAACAAAACAAAACGATCTAAAAATCTAAAAGATCAGAGATAACCAATAAATTTCAAGCAATAAATAAGCATATGAATTGTGAGGATTTTAATGAAATGTGTGTGTCTGATGGTGTGTGAATGAGTGTTGGTGTAAGATTGAGGCATTGGGGCACACTGAACAAATTAGCAGACTGGAAGGCAGTTGGAGAGTGTAACGGGACCTCGTCAGGCTCCAGGAAGGAAAATAACAGGTAACACTTTATTTTGATAGTCCACTTTAGACATTCTACTAACAGTAAGTAACTTTGCAACTACATGTCAACTAGCAGTCATTAGAGTATTAATAGACTGTCTGCTTAATATATTCTAACACTTTATTTAGATGGGTCCACAACATACAACACGCTGACTATGAGAAACTTTGCAAGTATATGTCAACTTATTCTACTAACCCTAAACCTAACCTAACAGTCTACTCTGAGAGTTAGTAGACATGTAGTTGCAAATGAATGAGAATTAGTTGACATGTAGTTGCAAAGTTACTTACTGTTAGTAGAATGTCTAAAGTGGACTATCAAAATAAAGTGTAACCAAATCATTAACCACACCTGTACGGAATGTTAGCTAAAGTTCTGTTAGCTTCATATAGGGTGCCTAAGGGTACCCTTACCAAAAAGTAGTATATTTCAAG